GAAGTTATCCACTGGAGGTGAAGTGTTAATCTTTTAGGAATATAGGAAATATTTTTTTATACCTAACAACTTAATATTTATTTATTGATAAGTTATAGATACTATGTATTTGAAATTCAGAGTAATCATTATGACAGCAGCATTCTTATTGTATTCGGATTCTAACACAAATAAAACATCTCATTAAATTTTTGTTAAAATTATTTAAAATTAGAAATAAATACAATTTACACATTTCCCATTATTACACTTATTTTCTTAATTTATTCATTTCTTATATTAACAATTTCAATTAATAATATAGTTCATTATTTAATTGGAACTCATTTTATAATTTTACTAATTATTTTTTTATATTTGTGGAAAATGAAATATTAAATAAAAGCATAGGAATTGTTCTATTGGATAATAGCAGTAATGAAAAAATAAGTAGGAAAATTTCAAATGTATAGTTTCCAGATTTATTATGAGTTTTTTATATTAATGTACTCAATAAGTAGGTTTATTATGTTCGCTTGTACACGTCACAGTTAGCAGCAGACAGTAACAAACCTGACAACACTTCTGATTTCAGAAAAACATTACAACAATTTGTTTTACATTATATATTTCAATAATATAATAATCATTTATATTTAATTAATGACAAGGTTTACTTTTTAAATAAAACTATATGAGCCCTGTCCCGTTTCAATTAGCACACTTCTCATATTTATAGTGACTGTCACTACAAGAACAAATCATACATAAATCTGATAAATTCTTTTATTTTTTTAACCCTTTCACTTCCACTTTCATTAAAAAATATACCATTGTAGTAGATTGTATGTTTTCTTTGTTTATTTTAAGTAAATTAAAATATTTTCATAGTATTTTTTATTACTCCAAGACATAACGTCCCTGTTCAGGGACATTACAAAAACAAAAATTTACTATGAAAATAAATTTTTTTAAATATTAATCTTTGAAAGTAATGCAAATAAAGTAAATAAACTAAAAAGAAAAACATTCTACCAAAATTAACAGATGTATACTTCAGGGTTAATTAAGACAGTGTCCCTCTGGAGGGACAAATACACTGAAAGGGTTAAATATTTACAAATTTTCATGAGTGTTTCATCACCTTTAACTTTGATAACGGCAATAATTCATTAAAACATTGTATTTACAAGTTCTTGAAAATCTTGTGCAGGGAACCTACTCCATATTTTTAGATTACCCATTTGAATTAATTCTGGCAGTGATCTTGTGGGTGCTGCACGCCTCTGCTTAAAAATTATCACCCCATATACAAAAAAGCATCTTTATTAAATGAACAAGAAACTAAAAAAAAAATAAGCATTATTAAAAACTACAAAAAGTGCATCATTTGAAAATCCATATTCAAGCTCCAGATTTGTAAAATTAAAAAAATTCCAAATACACATTTAACTTGTTCGATTATTTATTGAATAAAAGGTCTGTTCCAACGATCAGAAACGAACCACTGGGTAGTACACAATTTTGCAGTCTCAATAAACTACTGTGCAGAATCCTGATGTCAGTAACTCATTTCTGAGCATTGTTGGAACAAACCTAAAGTAAATCGAAACCACTTAAAAACAAGCACAACATTTATACTCGAGCAAATTTTTAATTCCTATCAAAATTTTTAATTACTGAATATTTTGTTCTAGTTATATTAAAATTTAAAAGTTCTTACTCTTAATTATAATTATATTTTTTATTTTCCCTATATACCTACATACTATCTCTAACATTTTAAAAATTTGATGCCTAATTAAAGATTTCATCTAGCATTGCAGAACTCAAAATGTTTTTCACATTTGTATAAATCTTCTACATCTGTCATATTAGGATAACAAGATTGTATCTAGACAGGTAGTTATTTTTTGGAGTTGAAGTTTGTATAGCCATTAACTTGTTTGATTTTCATTGTGTTTCTAACTCTAATTTAAGAGAAAATCTTAAGTGATAAAAAATTCAGAAAGAACTAAGCGACCTACATTTTTTAGAATATTTGATAAAGCATAGTAGTAACTGCCAGTTAAAACTGTGTTTCTAGTATTTAGTTTAGGTAACAGAGACAAAGCTTGGAACAAAAAATACATACTTTTGTTAATTCAGAATTTTTAAATGTTGTTTTATATTATAAATCTTTCTAGGTATCCTCTATCATTTTTTTTATAATTTTCAATCAAAACTGTTTAAAAACAAAAAGTTTAATAAAAAAATACCCATTATATTTAATACTGTTTATGCTCTAAAACTCACTGTTCTTTTAATGGCAGATTTTTTAACCTCTGAGTAAAGTTACGCATAAGTATAATCTATAGCCTAATCAGCAAGTAGTTACTTTCAACTTTATTCAGAGGTAAAAACCTGGCCTTTAATCTTAATATAATTGTGGAGGATGGAGACTACATTTGCTAGGGAATAACAAAGATATAACTACTATAATGACACTTGCTAAAAACTGTATAAGTTCTATGTACCTGCAGATAGAACCATGTGAATAACTTTAGTGCTTCGATAACACAACATTGATAATTAACAGATGAACATATTGGTCACAAAAACAAATTAATATATTCTACCAATCTCATTTTTTCCAAAAAGTACAGTTACAACCTTGTTATTCTTTGAGATGTATTTATTACTGATACTTATTAATAAAAATAATAATAATTGATATAGGTACTTACTGATCTTTGGAAACATATATACTCCAGTCCAGTGAGACTTCATTATTCTGGTATAATGCTACCTATTTCACAGAAATGTTTGTAATTCCAATCACTATGTATGGATTTGATTATAGTAGGTATAAAACTAAATGTTTATTGAATATCTTTAATCTGGGCAATGAAAATCACAAAACTCACTTTAAAAATAATAAGCTTCAATCTGAGTACCATAGTTAAGGTCCACTTCTTCATTTTATAATCAGTAACCCACTGTATTGCTGTTTTTGCCAAAACCAAAGGTAATATTTGAACACGAAACAAAATCAGCTGTTTTTTATAAACACCCCCATTTAACTTATTTAGTAGCAAGTCTCTGGCAGCAACTTGTAACTTAATTGGAGCATATTTATTAAATCTTGAACACTTTTTTTGATCGTATAAACGCACACATCAGTGTAGCTTCTTAAAAAAAAAACACTTATAAGCAACCATCAATAACAATAAACTTATTTGTTGACCATTAATTTGTTCATCTGTACTTCTTCTGATAGTTTTGTCATTTTTCATTTCATATAAACTCGAATTTTCACCATAGAAGAACTATTTTTATGATTGCACTTTTTCTGACAGATAAAAAGATTGCCGCAATTTTCCGCCGTAACGACACTAGCGAACCTAGCGGATTTTGGCTAGGAAGTACGACCGGTTTTGGTATGTTTTTTTCAGGGAGTTGAAACACCTTTATACATTGCGTTCGGTTTGCCACGTTCCTTTAACTCCTTTAACACTTTTAACTCCAAACGACTCTTTTAGCGTTCGGTTTAGTCCGATTAGTGACAGTTTAACACGCTTAAATGTCATTTAAAAGCACCCTAAAATTTGTCCCGCTCCAGCCCCTGACTGACCGAACTCGCCTATAGTGCGCCGTGGTTAAACGGAGATTAAAATGACATTGTTAATGTAAAAATGTCACTTTAAACTTTGTTTAACACAACGGTGGAATCGGTCCTTACAATCACATAAATTCGAAATTAAACGTCCAGTTACTGTTCACTGTACACTGACAGTTCATAAAAACGTCAGAATTATCAAATACCTTTGAACATTTTTAATTACGGCATAACTTGAAAACAAATAAAAATCGGATAAGAACATATGAGTTTTTTTACATTATTTTCACGTGTCACCCTGTATATCTATTTTTTTTATTGAAGCGATATTTGCACAATGAACTGGAGTGGGGTAGAATGCTTGTCAATAGGCTTGACATGCGACTCTATGGGCAAAGACAGGTTATTTTTCTTCTCACTCGGGAGTATTTATAACAACCATTTTCTATTTCACTTTGTTATTGTCTGATCCACCAGCATGTGGATTGAACAATAACAAAGTGAAACAGAAAATGGTTATTATAAATACTCCCGAGTGAGATGAGAAATAAAAATGGCTGCGCCCATAGAGTCGCATATTGTTCTATTGATACAATATGCACATTGGCGTTCTACCCCACTCCAGTTCATTGTATTTGCAGGTCGACAGATTTTCTAGGGTCGTTTTCTCGCTTCCGTTGGTGATTTCTAGTGATTTTCAACTTTTAAAGTTAAAACTTTCACATGTCACCTGTTGGCTAACCTACTAACCGCGCCATTGCTCTTGTTTCAGTGTTGCCGTTGCTATTACAATTGTAACAAATCTATTACTAAAAAGTTACACCAGTACGTTATTACGACTTTTAAGAAAAGAGGAAAAATCTATTACTTTTTAAAATATCGAAATTTTATGAGTGGCTCTATCTAAACTTCAGAGCCCATACTTAAAAAAATTTAGAAATCTATACATTTGTTATTTCTGTGTTTTCTTGTTTCAACAAATCCAAGATACCTAGGCGTCACTTTATTATATTGTATTATTTTTTTTATGTTATGGGTCAGTTTTTAGTTTAGTAGGGGATTGCCACCAGCCTCCAGCATTTCAGCATAATTTTTATATTGTTTTTAATAACGTAGACTCTTTCAAGACTTTGAAGAAATATTAAATTACAAAAATTTACCCTTAGGTGAATGTTGGGCTAACATATGGCTAACATCTTTAAAATAAAAAAATTACTGGATGAAACAAATGTTTAAAATTTAAAAAAATTTATTTGTGCTTTATTATTATTACCCCATTCTTTTGCAGCAGCAGAAATAATTTTCTCTCAACTAAATAATATTAAAGTTTTAATGTTAAATGTATTTAATAATAGTTCTGGTACATTTATGCTACCTACTTTAAAATATTATGTTTTACGATTTATTACCTTTTGGTTCAAAATTCTATTACAAAAAAATTAATTGGTGTGGCAACACTGTCTTGTTTGAGTAGTTTGTTGTTGTTGATTTGAGACTTTTTCCTTTTTCTTTTTCCATTTTTGACTTTTTCAGTGTTTTTGTAATAATTTAGTGATTATCCCTGACCTAAGTACATACTGTCTTTTCAGTTATTGTGTTTAGGGGCGAACCAGGTGTCAAAAACAATGCCTTGTATGGTTTTATTTTGTAAAACCAGTGGGTCGATTCCTGGAATTACATATTTTCGGTAAGTAGTGTCGTGATTTATATTAGCTAGTGATATAGCGATTTGATAACTTCTTCGCAGAACAGACTAGTTATAATACAAGCCGAATACAAGTACTTTTTTATATTTTTTGCTTTATTTATATTTAAAATTATATAGTTCAAAACTTCATATTGTTTTTGGTTTCATTTCCTTTACTCTGGGATTTAGCTGTCTCTACAAACGTACATTATAGATGAATATTGAATATTACCCTACAATTCCATTTTCAGACTTACCTCTCGAAGACATGATGCTTGGCTGAATGCTCTCGGTAGAGATCCCTCTATCGAGCACCTCTCTGATACAAACAGAATTTGTAGTATACATTTTTTGCCACATGATTTCACTCAAAAAGGAGGGAAACTTGTTTTAAAACCTGGAGCCATTCCTACACAAAATCTGGGCATTCAAAGAAATCAAACACCACTCATGAGTAATGAAGACATTGACAGGTACTTTAAATCTGTTTATTAGGGTGCTTCATTTTCAGGCAATATTTTTTTTTTTCTCTGTGCTACCTGAAAATCTGCAACTTTATAAAAAATAAAAAAATTTGCCGCTGGGTAAAAGATTCTAAATGCAATAGCGATTTAGCTCATTTAAAAATTTGATTTCCCATTTAAATAACATAGGAAACATTTTTTGTATGGTTTCAATTTGATTTTTCGATATTAAAAAAATTTTTTTAGGAAAAACCCGTGTATTGCTTTTGTAGGGCATAAAATCCGCTACAATAAGTTTTTTTAGTGAATCCCCTCTGACCAACCGTTTTTGAGTTATCGAGCTAGAAAGATGAATATCAATTATATTTCACATCAAATCTTTTTTAAACTAAAATTTATTATTTTTACATCTAATAATAACTTATTATAAACATTAGGACACTACAGTTCTAATTTTCAAATTTTTTAGTTTCATTTCTAACCACAGTAGTACTACTCTTGACTTCGTCTATACTTCCATTGATGTAAACAGAAGTTTGTTGATAATTGTGCTTTAACCTCATTGTTTATTTTTCTGTTTCTGTCATAAATGTCAGACTCAGTGATTAGACTCATATTTAGCTGAAATGGCTAATAAAAACTCCTGTAAAAACATTTATTTACTTGATTATGAACATAAATTTTTATCCTAACATAAGCTACCAAATAATCGGGAAGTATTAAGTTTATTGATGTACAATTATAAATCTCTGGGTAAACCACTGAATCTAAGTTTAAAAATTGTGTAAAACGAAAATCCCTTTGTTGCCAGTTCAAAACAGTGTTGCAAAATTAAGAAGTTTATATAAAGATTTGATGTGAAATATAATTAATATTCATCTTTCTAGCTCTATAATTTAAAAACTGTAGGTTGGAGGGGATTTACTCAAAGAAACTTTTTGTAGCGAATTTCATGCCCTACAAAAGCTATTCACGGGTTTTTCCTAAAAAAAAATTTTTTAATATCGAAAAATTAAATTGAAACCAAAAAAAAATTTACTATGTTATTTAAATGGGAAATCGAATTTTTGAATGAGCTAAGTCGCTATTGCATTTAGAACCTTTTACCCGGCGGCATAATTTTTAATTTTTTATAAAGTTTCAGATTTTCAGGTAGCACAGAGAAAAAAAAAATATTGCCTGAAAATGAAGCACCCTACTGTTTATATTATACTTGCTAGATATTAAAGCCTACTTCAATAGTATAGTGTGCAAGCGAAATGGGTTTTCTTACAGGTACCTTTTTATTAGAGTAATACCGACTATATAAAGAGATAAAAAATTAATTTCAATTATTTGTAGCATTTTCAGTGAGGACAGCATTATGAATGAAATGAGCAACAGTATGAATAATTATGAAGATATCGAAAAACAAATAATTTTTGAGAAAATGGAAATTAAGTTGGAAGAAAACGAGGAATATCAACAGTGTACACATATAAAAATGTCACCTACCCCAAGGTATGTTTTGTATGTGCTTTTATCTCAAGCAAGTTGCAATTCATTAAACCTTTTTGATTAAGGTATTACTATTAATTTATTTCAGCAACTTTTTATTTTTTAGTGGTTCATCTCAGTCTAAAACAACAGTTGATTTAGTAGGAGATTTTCTAGAATTCCATGGAATATTATATCTTATATTTATTTTACTGGGTTTATATTTATATTCGTCAAAAAAAGAAGAATCTGAAGCACCAACTGCTTCTGAACCCATTAGAAATATTAAACGTGAACCATTTACTAGCAGTACCACAGACACTGAGGGTTTCAGAGGTCCTATCAAAAAAGCTAAGAATTAATTAAGCAAGAAAATTCAATATTGGAAATAAAGCCGGCCCTTTTTCATGTTTACCGATTAACACGGCAGTGTCTGAAAAGGATTCAATGGGTATGCTCAAAAAGACTAACAAGAGCTTATTGGTGCCAAAAGTGAATTATTTTATTGGTGATCTACTGATTGTATATATGATAACAGAAAAGCTATCCTTCAATAAAAATGACAACTGACTACCCGTAATCAAAAATTTGTAATATTCCAAAGGATTACTAAAATTGGGCTCCTGATACTGAAATTTAATAATGTAAAATAATAATAAAATATGCACTACAAGGTGGACAATTTTATTCAAAAATCAACCAGTTGTCCAAATGTAATAGGAAAAAGATTATGCCAACTAAAATAAAATGGAAGAATTTATACCGCTGAATAAAAGAAAATTGAGAAATTTCAAGAACATTTTAAAAATGCATACCAAGATATGGATAACCTAGATTGTTTCCAATTGCAAACTAATCTTGTAGACGAATGCATAGAATGTTTTAATACAACAGAAAGAATTGATTGTATTATATAAAATAAAGAAGACTACTTCGAAACTCAGCATCTAGACGTATCAACATACCCTGGAATATACTCAAAAATAAGATTTTAAAATACATTTCAAAATTTTACAATTTTACTTAAACAATGGACACTTTCAGGAAGAATGGAAGGATGGAAACATACCTAGTCATTTCCCAAACCAAATACTGATCATTCTAAAGTCAAAAATTACTATTCCATAACTTTGCTACCTACAATGGGCAACGTATTTGAAAAAAATTGTTAAAAAAAATTAATGACATGAGAAATGCTCAACAACACATCCATTAGCAATTTTGACTTCCAATACACAAGCTAAACATTTGTATCTGAAATATGCAGCAGTGTTTGGCACAAAGGTCTACTTTTCAAACTACAAGAACTAATTTTATTCCTGCCACTTATAAATATCATGAAATAATTTCTAGAAAATCACTATTTGATAAGAAAAATCAATAACAACTATTTTGTTCTATCCCAAGGTGTTCCACAAGGATCTCCTCTATCCATCCATTTTCTAATAATTTCTGCCATGACCTTTTTCCTCAGTACAACCCAAGTAATTTTTTAGTGTGCAGATGACACTACAATAATCTCACACAATAGAAATATTCAAACTGTGGTGTAAAATCTATTATAGAATGCAATGACTTAATGGTTCTGTGAGTGGAGAATCTCCATAAATCCTAAAAAACTGCAGTTTATTATTTTTAATCCTCCTCCTCGAAATAACTCACTAAACATTCACATTAGTAATAATTCAATGCATCCTATTCTGGCAATTCAATATTTTGGCATCACATTGGACCAAAAACTAAATTTCAGTTTACATACAAAAACCAAAGTAAAATCAAAAGCCGAACATTTTCAGGCTCTGACATAAATAAGGAATGTCAACAGCAACCAAAATCTACACAAGTATTTCAGACTTCTAGAATATGGACATTATATTAATGATAAAGTAAGAAACACACCCATGCATAACTTGGAAATAGCGGAAAAGTATCCTACATACAGGGTGTTTCAAAAAAAGGTTTCCCCGTTGCTAGGATAGGCTAAAAAATAAGTAGGGTTATGTTAGTAAAAAAATTGAAACTGCGTCCGTATTCGAGATATAAGGTGTTGAAATTTCAAGATTTTTAATTTTTTATAGCTCCTGCAATTTTTGAGACATTTAGCTCAAATTTGGAATTTAGGTTACGATGTAGGCTTACATCATTGAGCATGCCAAATGTTTTGTGAACATCTACAGAAGTTTAAAAAAATTATATGTAAATAAATAAACATTTATACACCTGCTGAGATACAATTATGCCTGTGTACAGGAAAACATAATAATAAAATAACTACAGTATATGAGCCCTATCTCAGTGAAGTTGGCCCAACTATCAAAACCATGTTTTTTAAAGAAATAATGAAAAACATTTTAAAAACTATAATATTTCTGTTAACTTATAATATGTTTATTCATACAGTTTTTTTTTGTAAGAGAAAAAATATCAGATAAATTCAAAAAACTGTATATTAAAAAAAATACGAAACAAAATAACAGCAAATTACCACTTGCGTTACATCGCTTTTTCGACTGGTTACTGATTCGATACGCCTTGACATAGTATCAACTAATGTTTGGCAGTGCTTTGCTGTAAAACTGTTCCAAATTTCTTGAAGACGGGTTCGCAATTCTGGAACGGTTCTTGCGGGATTTGATCTGAGCTTTTTTTATATGCCACATTTCAAGGCGATAGATGTGGGCTACTGGACGTCCATTTTAAAAGTGGAATGTTGTTTTCTAACATCCAATCTTTTACTTTTTTTAGCCGTGTGACAAACGGCACCATCTTGTTGGAAGTTACATTCGATATTATTTAAACGCATTTTTTCAATTTGGGGTTTTAAGTTATTTTGAAACACATTAATGTACTTATCAGTATTCATAATACCTTCCACAAAGTGTAAGTTTCCCACTCCTTTAGCTGACATGGCTCCCCAAATCATAACAGAAGCCGGAAACTCAACTTTCTAAGACAGTCATTCTGAAACACTTCTTTTGTTCTTATGACACAACTCCTACAATCAACAATGCATAGTTCAAATCTGGCTTCATCACTCCAAATAATGGAGATCTATTGGTTTGGAGACCATAATTGATGTTCCTTTGCCCACGCTTGTCTATTTTTCTTCTGAATCTTTGTCAGTAAGGGCTTCTCTTTTGCTTATGAAATATTGAATTAAAAACAAAAACCAAAAATTATGCAAGCATACCTTGTAAGTTTTAAATCTGTTTTTTGGCAGCTCTGTGGAAAATTGCTTTGGAAAATGTTTTTCCCGTTTTAAAGCTCTTAAGTTGGCATAGGAATATTGCGGATAACTTCCAGTTCCTGGTTTTTGAGCCACAGATCCAGTTTTTTTTTACAATATATCTCGATTTATTAACACTTTTAGCCTTTTGGGAAGCATTTTGGTCCTTCAAATGCAAGTAAATTATCACCTTTCTTATTTCGACAGAAACAGCTTTACCACTAGCCATTTTTAGTTGTTAACAACAACACCAATGTACGAAAGTTAATTAAAATGTCAAAATCGGCTTCTTAGCAACGTCAAATATAATTTGTTTTACAAAGCCTGCCTTGATTTTATTGAAGCCGATAAACTGACTATTCAACTTAAGTTGTCTCTATCATGCATTTTGCCAAACACAGATCATTTTACAAATAAAAAAATGTTGAAACAAAAACTCTTTAAAAATAGCCACGCTGGTCTTATTATATTTAACATTTAAACAAACCAAAAATAATATATTTTAAACAAAATTTTAATTTGCCCTGTGATAAATTCACAAATATATTTTGTGGGGGGTTGGGCCAACTTCACTGAGACAGGGCTCCTATAACAAAAGGAAGGTTACAATTTAGTCTTATAATTTTTTTGGTTTAATTAATTTTGACAAAACTTATTTGACATAACTTATGTTTGCATGGGTTTATAAATTAAGAAAATAAAAAATATCTTGAAATTTCAACACCCTGTATCTCGAATACGGATGCCGTTACGACAATTTTGTATAAACTAATTCCATTTATTTTTTAGCACTATTTAACCTAGCAATGGAGCCACCTTTTTTGAAACACCCCGTATAATACCAAAAATGTTATAACAATAATGTTATATTCCTGAACCAATGTTACTCCTATCAAACAACGCCTAAATTATTTGCTTATTTTTTTGCAACAATCAACAGATTAGTATACAAGGTGTCCTATTAGTGTGTAATTACTTGATATTTCAATTTGTGTAATATACATGCACACAAGTTTCAAATAAAAGATTTATCGGTTTGAAAAACATGTTTTAAAAATATTTTTGGATATACAGTGTGTTGCACTTTTGCCTGGCAAATAAAAATGTAATTTTTTGAAAGGAACACCCTATATTTTATTTAAAGTTTAGAATGATTAGGTAATACTGTATTCGACCCTAGAATATTTTCGAAAAATACTACAGGGTGTAACAAGATGATCGGCTATAAGCGAGAGCCGGCAACGCCGCCATCCATGTAGTGCCGAAAGACATTGCATAATATTAGACAGTATTGTTTTAAGCTTTTAAGAGTTCATTCCCTTCAGGTCGAGACTTGTGTTTTCATAATCGTTTAAACCCGGTATTCATTTGTTTATTCTTAATAATCATTGTTGTTCGTTTCAGTTTTGTGTTTTGTTATGTGATCAAAATTATTAATGCTAAAGGAACTTTGTTTAAACCCGCACCCACAACTTATTTGATACTAAGTGTCATAAGGGCAATTAATTTTTTTGAGAAATTAGAAAATGATGCATACCTCAAATTAAATTATCATAATTTAGGTAGATTTCAAAATTTTGTAAATTACAGACTTATAACAAGCTAACGAATAGTGGTGATAGAACTGATTCATTTTATACAGAGTGTTTTGAAACATGTAAATATGGTTAATTTTCTTTCCAATTTACTCATTTTTTTATTATATACAACACTGAATATTTCGGCATAAAATTTACCTATCCAACGATACCAACATGTTAGTCAATGATACACAGGGTGTATCATAAGTGCGTAATTACCTGTTTTATTATGGGAAATACGAAGAAATTTTTAATATTAAAGTTGTATGACCATATTTAACAATTATTCTTAAATATACAGGATGGTCCATAAACAAGGGGCTAACCAAACTTATACCTTTTTAAAGCAAAATACCCTGTAAGTAGTTACATTGTTTTCACATCATCATACCATTTTAATAGACTTCATTAATTTGCTATGTCGTATATGGGTGTGTCAAAACGCGAGGTTGCGATTTTCAATTTTTTTTAAATAGAATACCCTGTATTGTATACCATCAATTAATTAATTTCTTTATTTTATATGCATTATATCAAAATACTTTTTTTATATTTTCTTACAAAGGTTTATAATACTTGTGACGTCAGGAGAACAGAAAACCATCCATTATTTCTGAAAAATGGGTTAACAAAAATTTTGAGCGTTTTGCTTTAATTGTCATAAAGTTAGCTGTTTGATTGGTAATTAATTCAAGTCGCGTCTCTGTAACAGTCCTTGAGTTTTACCTGTAAATGTCTAGACGTTTTAAATTCTGCAATCTAGCGCATCTATTGATAATTTAACGTTGTTATCGTTGCATAGGTAAATTCAAAA